AAAAATAAGAAAAAACTTCAGCTGTTGGTATGATATAACACTAAATACTTAAAATATGATAGAGATATAAGACATATTAGAAAACAGAGTATTATGATATTGGCATAGGGAAGCATTTTTATATCTCTCCAAAGAGTTGAATGATTTGATGTTAAATCCTGAAGTCTGTACTTGGTTTCAGTGTGAGGTTTTTTTCTGTGTAAGAACAGGGGGATTACCCCAGGATGTCAGTATGTATTTGACAAGTAGTTGGATCAGATCTTCCTGACATACACTTCAGTATTGTTAACTTTCCAGAATATTTACAGATCTGGGATATTTTCAGTTTCTTGCTGCCTGAAACAGCTCTGCATTCTCTGTTCTAGGAACTGAGTACCTACAGGTTTTCTTCACTTCATGTGAAGATACGTGAATTCAACACATCTGGGAGAAGCTTGTCTGCAGAAATCTTAGGTTAATAAAACAGTTAAAGGCTTTCTGAGACTACTCCTCAACATAAATATTGTGCCCTATTTGTATAAAAATAAACTAATCTAAATATAGATTGTGATTAAAAGCATTAAATAAATACCTTCTTAGCGAAAATCCACTGATCTCCTTCCGTTGCGTGGCTGAAAGACAAATACCCAATAAGCGCTCTAGAAAACTGACTGGTTTCAGTAACAAAGCCCCACCCAACTTGGTATGTATAGAAATTGGGAAATTTCACAGTTCTGTCAGTGTGATCATCGTTAAAGATAAACCTGAGACCAGTTATCATTTAATTTATATCCACCTCTGAAGGAGAATTATACAGTAAAAATTACTGTGTAGAGATTCATGAATGAATTATGCCCATCTTGTGTCATTTGGTAAGGGGGAGAAAGCCACAAGAAGTCACTCTAAGAGACCATTATCCCTCATTCTTGTTGTGTTTTCTTAAGATGTGCTTCCAGTTTGTTGTTGTTATTGCATTGTAAGTGTTGTAATTAACAAAGAAATATATGTCACTCAAAGTTTAGACTGTTCTTTAACATCGGTGAAGAGTTTCTCCCTTTTCACCATGGTCATTTCAAAAATATTTTACACTACAAAGGAACTTGATACAATGTCTACTAAAGCTAATAAAAAAATCTCCTGCTGAGCTTAAGAATTTGCTTTTCACTCTGGCATCATGAATGCATCGTAACTTTGGCCTGTCTTAAGAGCTGTAAAGATCCAATCCTGATACATAAGAAACATAACTATACAAACTTACCTTCTTTTTGTTAGCTACTTTCTTATTTAAATAGAAAAAAACATTAACCAAAACCAAGAGGATTATTATTAAGTTTGACTTGCCATCTTTAGCTTGCTCAGTTTTGCAAAAATGGAGTAAAAAAGCTCTGTGGCATCAAAGATGAACAGAATAGTTTCATTATCATGAGAATTTCTGTATCTAGTTTCTAATCTTACTGGCCAAAACACAAGGGAAATGGGAAGGTCAGGCCCAGTCGTGGTTTTGATACAGTGTGTAAGGATGCCGTTGTATTTATATCACATGCAAATGTACCATATTGAAGAATGCTTTAGAAGGATTGTCCAAGATGGCCTATTTTCTAGAACTTTCTCTGAGAATTATATACATAATAACCAATGCCTTACTAAGACATAGCATGGTATCATGTATACACAAACATTAAGGTGTGTACAAAACCTTCCTACTATGTCTTTATTTTAATACAAGAAAATGTCTGGAATAGATCTTGAGTAGTCTTATATAGTGGGATGCTCTTACTGAAATAAGTTTCCTTGGTAATTCCATGGTAATTCTTAGTGTAATTCACTGGATTCTCTGCTTTTTGTTTTGTAACGCTTATCATGAAATTAAAATGAAAAACGTCAAACAAACCATACCCTGTAGAAAAAGTAGCCTCTACTTTGAATCCCTCCAGGACCTTGAAGTTCTTCCTGAAAAAAAGTATTTTAAATCATATATACTCTTGAAAGTGAATCCATATAGAGAGGCTGTTTATGTACACACTAAATGTATTTCTGCAGTACTACTATAAATCTTGCCCCTTAAGGCATGCTTTATGTATATTTCTCCATGTCAGTAACAAGAAGTTCATGTTGTTAGGTAGAAATAGCAGAAAACACATGAATGAGGGCCAAATTCCAACTCAAGTTTTGTCTCAGTTCAGATTGCTTTAGAATGGTACTAGTAATGATGGACGGGCTTTGCCTTCGACTTTCCAGGTTCCACTACCCGTGCGCAGTGTCTTCATGGTAGCAGAGTCTCTATGGACAAAGTAGAGTTGGTCTTCACACCTCGCAGAAGGACAACAATGCAACAATGCAAAGCTTAAAACCCACAAATACTTGGGCTCCAGCCCAGGAACAAGATCCCAGACTGTTCCCAAAGGTGTGTCATGATCACGCCTCTCAGATTAACTCCCAAAGAAAAGACCTGTGCGTATGATATTCTATCCTGTCAGTGCTGCACACATTGAGAAACAACTGTCTGCTAATCCATACAGCAAGGGAGGGGGAACTAATGATGAAGAAAATAGAAATTCCATTTAAATGTAACAAGTACAAAGCATGAAGTATCCAGTTGCTTTAATGAGACCTTCATGATTAGAGAACAGATAATCACAGTATTTTCATTGCTTGTGTTAATACCAGATGGATGAGTCAAGTGTCTGTCCTGTGCGTGGAGAGACACTGACCAATTCAGAAACAAAATAGTTCAAATCTTGTGCTTAACATAACATTTAGATGGAATTTATTTAGCAATGATGGTATTTCTCAATTAAAAACTGAGGTCATGTGATCTCTTGGGCTATGGTCATAACCAGAGTTGTTGTAGAAAGCAATCATTCCATGCTGTATTCTAATGCTTAAGAATTGTGTAAAACAGGATGGCTCCCATCATTTCCAAACACAGGAACAGCTTCAATCCAAGGAAGCTTTCAAATGAACTGCGGTTTAAACTATACATTGTTTTTTGAGTCTTGCTTTTAATTTTTACTTCAGTTCATCAGGTGTACCGTGATACCCAGTTTCTTTGCTGTAGGTTAAAACGTGTACGATTTTTATTCCTATTGTCAGCCTCATTCTAGCAATACCTGCATTTGAAGTACCCATCTCAGATCTATCCATTCAATACTATAGGGGTTTTTAATTTGAAAAGGCTAGAAATTTGCCTGTTAGCAAATAGATTAGCTAATTTGCCAATTAGAAAATTAGAAATTGTTGCCTGTTTGCCTGTTGTATCTAATGGTATTTATATTTTGTTATTTTTCTACTTTTTCTACTCAATGTGTGAACAAACATAAAACCAGAAACAAAATAGGCAGCTGTCACAAGTTACGGAAATGGATCTAGTCAAGAGTACAATTACTAATATGGAATTATGATTTATTTTATGGACTTTTAACATATTAATTTGTCATTTTCTGCTTAGAACCAGAAACCTCTTAAAGAAGATTAGGTAGTTTCCTGGTTTGATTTCATGTCAGGAGGTAGCTATTAGAAAACAACTGAAGCTAAAATCTGTCTTCATTATAACACTTGCCTTGTAACTTCCAAGCATTCGGAGATGTAAAAAAACCCCAATACATCCTATAGCGTATGTGCATGTATATTCACAAACCTGTATGTATATACATATACAGAAACATACGTACTCATGAAGAAGTATGTTTGTTTAGCGTTTAATGCTTGCCCTCTAAAAGTTATGGCGTTCAGTCTCTTAGATTGACTTGCCAACAAAATGCTCTTGCGTTTTCTGTCTTAGATCGTATTATATCAGTCAAGATGGAGCTCAAGAGGAATGAAATTCATGACAAAATCTGGTGTCAGCCCAAACTGGGGAAAAAAGAATAAATTTAATAAAGCATGTTTCCTTTTCACCCATCCACCTTCTCAATTCCTGATCTGGTTGTGGGGAAAGGTGGTTGTGTTTATGTATAGCAGGTTCTGGTTTTCTTCCCACTATGGGGAGAAAAAAATGAGCAGCAAGCTAACCCGTCCTGAAGCAGTCGGTGACACCAGAGCCAAAAAGTCCCACCAGAGGCGGGCAACCCAGAGGAACACGGGGGCTTCCTGCTCCATGAGGTGTCGGAGTTCCTCTGCACCTCTTAGGCAGAGTTGCTCTGATCCTCTACTGGCTTTGAAGTTTACCTATGCCATTTCCCCATCAGCCCATCTGGTAGAGCCTCTGGGAAAGACAGGTTTGTAGCTTTCTCACAGTTAGGGAATAGTTGCAGTACTTTTATTATTGATGGCAGATTATTACAGTGTTTTCTTAATTTTCTTATGAACTGCTATGACCCTCAGCAGTAACATTTAGAGAGGATTTTAAACTCTTATACTAAAATACACCAAAATCTGCCATATAAACAAATATGATAAGCATAAAATGGATGCATTTCAAATATTTATTATGACATTAAAATAGATAAGGGGTATGCAAAAATACCAAAACCTAAAGAGTCTGCAAACAAAATCGATTCTGTTTTGTAAACGTCTGGTGCTTATGCACTGTACACCAGTAAATAACAGCTTTAACAAGGTGACTGGTATTCACAGCAGGGATTGACAAGATGAAATCAAAAAAGTTGCTTTCTATAAAATGCAATTCAATTTATAGCTGTTTTCATTGTTTCCTTAGATTTTGTATTGGGTTTATGAATATTTTAAAACGGCTATGTTCTGTAAGTGTTGGCCATGTCATTACTTCTCTTGGCTTCAGCCTTACAGAAGAAAATGTATTCAAGGGCATATTTAATGTTACACATTTTCCTTGGGATATAATGAGCTCTTCACATTGTAGGTCTAAATGCCAAATGATAAAAATATTCCAAAATAAATAATAATTTAAAACCATTTAAATCAAAGGTGGTTAAATCCATTAATGACTATTTTACATAATGGTGTAGATGAAGCCTTCAGCTCAGAAGGTCTCTAGGATGTGCCTGCCAGAAGCTAGAGAGTATACCAGAGGACTGATCGCTCACACTTCCCCTGGTCCTTCCACCTTTTCCCTGTCTATGCGCAGCAAGACACTGTTAGACACAGGGTACTGGACTCATGAAAATACAGTCTGAACTAGTGTGGCTTTTGTGATTACGCCTTCTTTTTTAAAAATTGTTACTGTGATATATGCCTATGACAGTTCTCTAGTCCATTCCTTTTCAAACAAATCCTAGTTAGACTACCACCCTTATTCTGCTTCAGGACTAATGAAGTTATTGCACCATCTACTTTAATCCAATTATGTGTGATACCACTGACTAATCTAGAAGATTCCTGTACCTGTAGTTCACAAAATACAGGTTACTGTTATTCAACACAGGAGTTGAAAGTGCCACAAATTCTGCATTCAAACTTTTAGCTGGAACTACAATTCTTACGTGGCAAAGAGCCTAGCACTGAGCACATGAACAGTCCTGCTGACAGTTACGCGTGTGCTTATGTATTTAGCTGGGTTAACATGTAAGCATAAGTGTAACATCATGATTGCAAATTAAAGACTGCTGGTTATCACAGTGCAGAATGGTTGGGAATCTAACTGTTGCTATTTCCATGTACTATGAGTTATGAGTACAATAATACAAATAATAGGAGACGGGCCTTTCAAAAATTAGCCACTTTAAATGGTGACTAAGGAAACACATAACAGTCATCATCATTCACTCATTTCTGCTTTAAAAAAATCTGATGAAAATAAGGTACCACACAAAAAAATCTTGGTAAAATGTTTGCCTTTTTCCACAAAGTTATATCTGCCTGCTTTGGGCTCATTCCCGAACAGTACAGCATTTTTTAAATCTGTTTGTTGTATTTTTATTTCCTTTGGAAGAAATATTTCCAAACACTATCCTAAAACCAGGACTTTTTATCAGTATATGTTTACACTTTATATCAGATAGCTAGTATACTTTTAAATTTTTTCCTAAGGGTTTGTAGAGAATGGACTTTGATGTTTCTTTGATCTAAAAAAATAAGTTTTGAAATTGTTTGTCACCTGATGGCTTGACAGCTCTTAAACAGAAACAGTTTATTAAATCTAATTTGTGAGTTGTTGCAAGTATAGTGATTTTCTAAACACATACAAAGACATGATCTGACTGATATACTCTCTAGAGTTTGGTATTATTATTACTTGGAAAAATATCCTTATAGTTTCTTTTTTCAGCCCACTAAAAAAAAAAAAAGCCATGAAGAGGCTGAAATAGGTTGGAGTATGCCAAATATGCTACAAATTTTAGTTTATTCTCAATTAATGTATTCTATTTCCATTAATTATGTCATCAACCTCAGTGGAGGTAAATTCAGGATATTAAAGTATTCTAGCAAAAGGACTTTACTGGATTTAAAAGGCAGTTTGTTTTCACTTACAGCAATTTTGTGTTCTTGCATTTATGCTTTCTTTCCCATTATTTGTTTGTTTGACATGTATGTTCATTTAAAAGCACAAAGAGCAATTCCAACAATATTCTTTGCCAGTATATACATCCAATAGCACAAATACAGTTCACATCAATGTCATCACAGAAGATAAATTCTACCCTGTGTTTTCCTTTCAGATGTGTAGTGGGTTAAAATTTTCATAACAATTTTAGTCCATGAGAAGATGTACCAACTCTAAGTTTTATATGTGGCCAAGTTCTGTCACTAGATAAGAAAAATGTGATTCAGGGCATGTAGTTGGGCTTGTGCAGTGATCCGAAGAGAAAGGTAGAATAGTACCAACAACCACAGCCATGACTAGATGAAAGCTGACATACATAATCATAGGATTAAGAGTTCATTGAAAATTTGGGAGTTAGCAACACAGTCTTTATCTGGATTAATAAAGGAAAAATCCTACTTATGGGGATGATGCTATCTGAGCTTTAAATATCACATTCATAAACATAATTTAACTTGTGTATCAGTGAACATAAGGAATCATATCAATGAATCTAAGGAATCACTAAGCTGAAGTCAATGTAAAACAGGAAGAATCTAGGTCTTAGATTTTGGTGTACTTTATTATACAGGAATCTTTGGTATTCTTACAAAGATTCTGATATATCAGATTGCTTTTTTCTCTTCTTTCCGTAGTTGTGTTAAAGAGATGGACGTTAATAGCCACCTCCTTTTTGATTTTTGAAATTTGAAATTGCATTTGCAGCAAATATGCCCAAATTTTATTATATTTTGGAAACAATGGGGATATTTACCTCTGTGTGGAACTTTTGTTCCAAAATACACTACTTTTCTAGTGAAAATTAATTCCATAGAAAACTTTCTTATCTGCACCTTAAGTTAAACAATAAAATTCTTAGTGCTGTAAGTCATAAATAATATATGTTTAAGGGGTAGATATGGTTTGAATTCTAAATGTGGAAAAAAAAAAAAAGACACCCCCCCCCAAAAATATATAACTCAACTGCAATATAATGGTACAGATAAATTTGAAACTATTTTTATAAAAGAAGTAACAGATCCATTTTGATACATAGGCAGAGTTTAAGATTACATACGTCCACTTTGTATCTCTTCAGTCTTCTCTCATTAAGCTGGGGAACGAGTTGCAGCAAAGGATGCAGGACAGACGACTGAGAGGACACGAACACAGACACATGAGCCACAATGGCATTCAGACCTTATGATGCAAAAAAAGTCTTTTCCCACAATATTGGCTTATGGACCAAACATACAGCAAAAGAGAACTGAAGATGTTAATTGAGAAATTTGTTTTTTAACACTCTGACTTGACAACAAACAGGTACCAACATTTATATTTACACTATGAATATGACTTGGAGTGATGGAAGGAAAAGCTATGTGTCCCCACCGTTACTCATTGACAGTTCAGAACTTTTTACAGACTTCTTGCCCAGGCAATTGCAGTTATTCAGACTTTCACCCGTCTCTGAGTGCTACAGAGAGATACACTACTCCTACTAATATTTCTATGATTATCTGCTACGAAAGTTAGCAGCTTCAACCTCTGTTGTACTGAAAAGTTAATTTTACCTCAGAATAACTTAAATTGCAGCAAGAAAATGATTTTTTAACTAGAAAACAGTGTGCAGGAGGGATCAATTCACAAGTAAAATTTGTAACCATGGCACTGGTCACTCTACCTAAAACACAAACTCCAATCATGAAATTCCTTGTGTTCAACAGGACTTTAAGCTTGCAACAGCCTAGTTAAGCACAGTGGCAAAGTGTGCAGCGTAAGTGCCCCCTGGCAAAACACAACCTTGTGGGCTTGTGGAGAGAGGTCCACAGTGAGAAATAAAGCAGAAAAACCCATGTTCCATTAAACAATTTAAACCTTCAACTGATGTAAATGTAGTTTTAAAAATAATGCATTTTTGAGACAATACTTCTTAGAAAAGGAACACAATGAAGAGAATTGTAATAAATGGCATAACTAGAGTTACCAAAGTGTTAATGTACTTCATAGGTAAAATGGAGTTGCCTACTTGGAGCCAATTTTGCACTGTCTGTCTAAGGTAGGCAATATGGCATCGTACTATCTAAAAAAGTAGAAATCTGATGTGAGTGGAGGAGTTAAAGGGCATCCCAGCTGGCCTCTTGGGCTCTGTCTTGCAGTCAGTGTAGAGAGGTTGATAAAGCCAAAGAATGATGAGTCTCATCTAAGTTAGTATCTCTGAGAACTGGGCCAGAAAATAGTTACCTGAATAGCTAAAACAGAAGAAGTGAGAAAGTAGTAACCTCTGGGGCAGGCAGAGGCAAAGGTATTCAGGATGGATATGAAGGGGCATGCAGTAACCTCTTAAGCAGGAGCAGCAGCAGAAAAACTGTGCCTTGGTTACCACTAAAACCTCCAGAGCTGCTCTATCATGAAAACACTGACCCCAATATCATCAATATCACTTTCTAGGAAACATACCACATATTTCTGAAGAAATGTAAAGAACAAGTAAAAAATTGACATTAACATATAAGAATGATTGTTAAGAAATGAGAAAAAATGAATATGTTTAACTTTCTCAATATGCTATTGTGCACAGAAAAAAACACATAAGATACACAGAAATAACAGATTATGTTTGCACTTTAAAAGCAAGAATGGATCACATGTAGTTTGGCTTATGTTGTGGCTTACGAGAATATTTTTATAGCAACAACACTAGGCTATTTTTAAATCATATTTTTCATTTAAAATATAATCCAAAGTCTGTGTGAGACTTAAATACTATCTTGCCTGATACATATTTATGACATGCACAAATAAATACATACAATTTAATTAATAATTAATAAAAAAATCCTTAAGAGTTCTTGATATTTATGGTCATGTTCTCAGCTTCTATAAATCCATGTTGTTTCACTGCATATGTTATGTTCCAGTACCAGAAACAAGCATTTGATCTTATTCTTAAATGTTGTAATTGCAAGATTAAGATGCAGCTGGGTTCTATGAGTGTTTGGTTGTTTTTTTTGCACACTTGGACAGTATTGATGTCATCTTAAACACAAAGCACCCAGTTCTGAGCTTGCTATACAGTTGGAGAGACTGCTGCAAAAGGGAACATTACCTTGTTTTTATGTACAAGCACACATGTACTCACAAGGAGGTGCTATGCCACTTACCATGATGTCTGAGTTGCCTGAGTCATGAGTCTTAGAATAATGAAATAAGAACTGTTCAAAAAAATTAAAAGTGGGGTTTTACTACAAAACAGGGAAAAGGTGTTATGATTTTTTTGACAATTTTAGTGTGATCTTAAAACATACATAGAAATCTTACCCTTTTGGTGTTGTCTTTTTCGTCTAAATCCTGTAGGAATAATAATTGGTAGAGAAACTTTTACTTGTTAAAAAAAAAGAGCAAAGGGCAATTTTGATTGCATTATAAACTTTTCAGTACTGGATTAGAATATCATCCTTCCTTGACAGATCTGTACATGTCTTTGCTTATCAACTCTGTTTTCAAACTCTGTAGAGAGCACTGATTACTCTCCAGTAGAAGAGTCAATGGGTTTAGCAGATGCTCCTTTGTGTATCCCTAGACTCTCCTTAGTAAATATCTTTCACCATTGAGAGTTCATAATTTTTCTAATCTAGAGCAATAAAACCACCGGAAACCTTGTATCCAACCTGGAGATTATTTTCCAAGCATTGGAGTCTCCCCATTATCTTTAATAGGTGTTGGATTAGGACACGTAGCATTTCGGAGTAAGAACTGATAGTATTACTTCCAGTACCAAGTAACACTTCAGATATTGGGTCCTCAGAATTCATTGCGGACACTATCACACTGGGAGATCAGGCTTCAGAAATGCTAAGTAGTATCTCAGGTGTGTTACCTGTGGTTTCTGGAGAAATCCCATTATCAAAAAACAAAGTTCTTCCAGTGCACTGGATGCCTAATGCAAAGAAAACATGAACACAGGTATCACACTTCCAATCCTACTGCATATAACAAATAGTGTCAAAATAATAAAGTAACCTCTGTGTGACTCACCTGAGGCTGAGAATCTCTGGACAGGTAGGCAGAACATGCATCATCTATCTGTAAAAGTTCACACAGTCCTTCTTTAAGAAGTCAGATTAATAAAAGAAAGTGAAATATCTGTATTTTCAGAAACAGTTCAGTGCAGCTAAAGGCATGACAAGCTTGTCCATCTTAAGGAATCCTTATAGGTACACTCATGAAATATCTTGCATTCAAGGGGAAAAAAAGCCCTTAGCCATGTAAAAAAAAAACAAATAAACAAACAAACTTGAACAAACAGATACATATCTGTGTCCTTTATTCTCTTACCTTCCTCACACTCCTCTTATTTATAACCTTCTCGGACTAAGTCATGTTTTAAATTATGATTTGGAGCATCTGAGGTATGGACTATGAACTGAAAACTCTTCTGTGATATCTTGGATTATATAAAACTGCAAAGAAAATGACAAAACTAAAGCAAGTGATTCAATGAGCACTCCTCAAACACAACTCTTCCAGTTGGGTTCCAGCATCCCTGCAGGTGTATGACACACACATCTCTTGAATGATTATGGTATGTGCCAGCACATCTTCTGCATGCCAGTCAATTTGGGTGAGTCACCAAGTAGCCAATATCCGAGGTTTGCACTGATTTATTTGGCAAGTAAGGAGTCTTACAAGATTTTGTTTAAAGGAGGTGGTTCCCAAATCACAGGGCTAGTAAGAGATAAATTCAATATATTTAAACGGATCTAAACTCAAGAAGCACTGGGGAAGAAGTCATTGCTGCTGAACTTAAACATGTCAGCACAGAATAGAATGCTACACACAGATGCAAAACAAACAAACAAAAATAAATCTACAAACCAAACCCAGAAGGCCCAAACCCCATCAGCCATTTAATCTGGATCAAAATAAATGTCTAGTTAGCTCTGTCTCTTATCCCCTAAAAAGGCCATGCATTGGCACCTAGGGAAGAGACTAAGCAGAGACCAGTGGTCTAGTAAAACCCATTCTCTCCAACCACAGTGGATTTCTGTGCTGTGAGAGCAATCTCCCTCTGAACTGTTGTAAACTTTTATCATCCACAACATCCTGTAGTAAGGGTATCCTAAACACTGTGTGACATACCACTTCTGTTTGTCTTGATCAGTCTTTTCAAAGCTAGCTTCAGTCAGTGCTATCTTGGTCTTGTCTTGGAAGAAGTATAGAAAAGACTGTCTAAAAAGATGTGGGCTTTTTTAAATAAAGAGTAGGCAATGCAGTGGGTGTTATGATTTCATTATAGGTAAAAAGCCCTAAACAACACTCTATAGCAACGAAAATATTAAACTAAAAAAAAAAAAAAGAAGCAATAAACAAATGATGCATATCTGAGTACTTGAAGACAAGAGATGATTCATTTCTCTAGAGACAATCTATGAGAAACCATTAGCAGAGACAGTGGGAAAGCTAATAGCTCAGAGAATTCTTCTTTCGAATAGTTCTTGTTGGTAACACATCTTCCCCATTCTCTTTTCCCTTCATCTTGCAATTGTTTGTCTCTGGCTATATTAGTTCAGCACCACTACTTTCAGAGTAAGAAAATGTAGAGGGGTAAAATCAGCAGTGAATGACATAAAATAAGCTGAAGTAATTTTGATAGCCTAGATTAAAACTTTGCTGTTTCTTCTTGGTGAGGGATTTTTTGTTGTTTTGTTTGTTTGCTTGCTTGTTTATTTGCTTGTTTTGTAGTTGGAAGTGACTCTTAGACAACTACTGTAATTCAGTAGCAGGACAAGCCAGAGACTGCTTTGTGTTGGACACAATGCAAGGCAAGGTATGTCTCAGCTAAAACCTGCATGGACAAAGCAAGGGCTGAGGAAAAGCCACAGTTTCTGATAATTCCTTTTTAAAAAATAAAAATGTAATAGTTTCTGTCATCCTTGATGTATCTTCTCAGTAATTTTCTCTCCTGACTCAGAAATGTGGCCTGAGGTTGGGAGCTTGTGAGTTGTTTGGCATTAAATAACATAACGTTGGTTAAATAACATAGAGAAACAAAAGGATGTGAGAGACAAGTAAAGGAACACAATACTTAGTTAGGAAGTTCCCATGTTTATAAACTCAGCGTTTTCCTGGAAAACGCTAGGTTAATTTAGAGGCAGGGCTTCTCCTGAATGATCCACTAATAAAGTAACAAATGGGGACGAACTGATTCTTTTCACTCTAGGAAACTCTGGTGAACTAGTATGATTCTGTAATCAGGCTGATTTAGGTTGTATACCTATGCATCTATTTCTCTTTCCTTAGACCATCTCCAGCCCTGCATTATTCTTGCTATAACAGTAAGTTCTATGTTGCTTATGACATATAATTTTACATTGAGTTTAGTGTCTTACGCATACTTTTTTGTTCACTGGAATCAATGGAAACTTTTTATTTGCCTACTGTTGGCGTAGGAACAAATCCTGTGTTACAACTAGCAAATCCTAGCAATAAATGCAGAAATGTATAAAAATAACATTCTGGATTGAAAAATGCAAATAATTAATTTTCATTAACTCCTTAAAGCTATCAGGACCTCACTTCCCAAAAGACCAGTTTCCCTTGGGTGATATTTATCTTATCACCAGGGCTTGTTCAAGTGCTAGTCTAGAAATGTGTTGGTGTTTGAGCCAACACTTCCAAACTGAACTAAGGGGAGGTGACTAAGGGAAGTGTCTCCTGCAATGGCCACACTAGGAAGAAATTTGCTGTCTGCATCTGTACCCCTGGTGAGTCACTTGCTTTCTAATGTTATCAGAAACTACAGAATTAAATGTCAACAGAATACTTGCAGGTTACAGCAATGCCAGGGCATGCGAATTACAGGCTAAACCCTCTCTGGGTGTTATGCCCAGCCGCTCCATCTGTTCCAAAAGGGCAGGGAAGAGCCCATGTTAACACACATGTCACATCCTAGAGTCAAAACAAATGTTCATTTCAAAGGTGAGAGTGGAAGTTATGATCAGTAGCAAAATGTTAGGGGGGCTAATTAACACAGTATGTTATCCTTTACCTAGTAAATTGAGAGGCTAGGATAGGATTAAATACAGCGTCCCAGCCCTATGTGCAGAACAGAAGAAGCAAGAGGTAAGACTGGATGAGTTGAAATGATTCCTGCATATCATGTACGAACTATAAAACTACCAGACGGGACACTGTGTTGCTTCCAGGGACAGTGACTGCCTGGTCATTGACAGTTAAATGACAACTGTTACCAAACATAGCTCTCCATTGAGCCAAGACAATCTTCTCCCAGAACGATATCTCAACATTCAGCCTTAACATCCTACTGGAACAACCGTTCAGAAAATCTGGAAAATGTTTCACTTATTCACAGATGTCAGGATAGGAGATGTACAGGAGAAGCAGGACCGGAAGAAGCACCTGAACTCTGTGCACAGAAATACTGAAGAGTGAGGTGTGACTGTAGCAAGAATGGGCACAGATGAAATGGGAATATACCATATAGCAGATGATCCCTACCTCTTTCCACAGCTGCAAATCCTCATCTGCCTCAAGTGCTTGGGATGGCATCGGTGCACCTGGAAGCACAAATCATGCTTAGCAATGCTGTACAGCAAAGGTCATTTGTAGAAGTATCCCATGTCAGTGATTTAAATAAAAACTCTGAAGGCGGTACGATACCTAGCACACTTCTTAACTGCAAAGTCTGAGAGCTGCATGGTCCAAGGAAGTCTGCTGCCCTGGGTGTTGTGGGGTTTGCCCAGTAGTTTCTGGCTGCTCTGTGTTAGCAACATATTAGGAGGCTGTTTCAGAAATTCACAGCAGGTACAGACGCTCACATCTGTTAGCAATAAACAGGGTGGAAGTCACTCAGGTTTCACGGAGAGTGAGGCTAGCATTAGTCCATTCTCAGTGATAAGTAGCAGGCAAGAAAATTTGCATGGCAGCTCTTGAATGCTAAGACCTGCTCAGGAGAACACATTCCAGTGCCTACAACCTCGAACTTTCTGGGGAACTCAGCTCACCTCCAGCACACCCATCGCAAGTTGAGAATCTGAGTCCTACCTCTTGCTTTCTTGTATGTTACAATTAAAGAATTAAACATGTGCTGTGTAATGTACTCTTGCATATGAATAATGCCCATGATATGAACATAGCGTTTTTGAGAAAGTCGTAGACAGTACATGTGTAACTGGCTTTGTTTCCTCTGTTTGGCGTATGTGATGTGGAAAAGCTCAGTCCATTAGAAGATTAAATGTGTTACTAATTGCATAATGCTGCAGTGACGCCATGCTTGGCTTGGTGGCAGCTCCTTTCCCCATCTCTGCCCACCCAGGCTGCAGACATGGAAGTCACTGTCTCTGGGTCCCTCCCAACTCAGTGCCCAGAATATCCACCTTTCCACACTGATATTTTATCTGGCAGTATATTTCTAATAGCACTAATAGCAACGTATTATTAGAGTCTCTGTAAGTAACAGAAATGAGTGTCACAGAACTGTGAGTACTCTAGACATCACCCAGGCATATCAGCAAGGGGATGTGTTGTAACTCACCTGGGAGGGAGATTGGTGCTGGACAGGGTGGTGGTTTGTCTGTACAGTCTTAGTACTGCAGGCAATCCTACGAAGTCATCTAATTTATCCCTCTGCCCAAAGTTGCTGCCCATAAGCCATGCCTAACCAGTCTATACACTATTCTTAGAGACCTCAGATTAATAGAGACTTTTATAGCCTCCCAGACAGTCTATAATTGCTTCTGGCCACATTTTTTTTCAAATAATTGAACCAAATCAAACAAAAAAAAGAGGTGAAGGTACACTTAGCTAGAATGGCCGGGTGAGCAAGGTATAAATGCCCATCATCTCTATTTGTTTTACACGTACCACTAATAACAATAAATACAGCAGGAGTTAGTTCCAGGCATTAAGGGGTAGATTTCAAAACTGCATTTTGGTACTGGCACAGACTTAAGGTGACTAATTATTCTAGATGCTTGTTTTCCCCAAAAAAGAATTAATTTCACACTATGTAGCAGTGGGATATTTTTGAAATCTCCAAGATGTTCACATAACAAGGAAACTGCTTTCCAAATAAATATTTGCTATTTTGGATGTTTGTTTTAGTTCAAGGAAACGTGCCAAATAAATTAGAAGTGCTACAATTCTCTTACTTTGGTTTCTATTCTTAAATTAATATATGCAACTTGGAGTATTGCCTGGGACTGGTATCCTGGTTGCAAAGAGGGGACCTGGGTGACATTTCAAATTAACACACCTTCCCCACTAAACCTTTGCCTGCCTGTCTCTGAACATTGCTTCTGCCATTGCCTGGTTCCCAAGGCTTTCCAGGGGGGAGCAGAAGAAATCCAATAGCCTGGAAAGCTTAGGGCGGTGGGCAAGAAAGCCTGAATATTACAGCTTGCTTTTTTTTTTTTTTTTCCCTGGAACATAAACTTTTGGACATGCAAGTATTTTGCCGGCTAAGTTCCCTTAACCCTTCTCCACTTATTAACAAAACTCTTATTTCATGTGCAGTCCTATCTGTTTTATGCTCACACCTAGGACTATGTGTCCCCTGGTGCAGAGCAGTGTCCCTCCATCACCCCACCCAGAGCAATGCTGCCACCCCTACAGGACTTCACCTATTGACACACATACACAACAGCACGCACAGGGAAACAGTAAGTTATTTTATAATATACACAAAATAATTGGGGTGGGGGGAAGAAAGAGTGCTACCGAGGAAAGCAATCCTATTCAAAAGGAACGTGGAAGAGAAAATCCTCCTACAAAACTGACACTGTCCATGACACCTTTGTTCTCTTATCTTTCAATTCTGCCAGTTTCTAAAAACTCAACTTCTTCCAAGGCAGCAGAATGCCTGATGCACAGTTTCAGTCACTTTTCACCCTGGGATTCACTTCTTACGTCTATAAGAACAATGATGAAATACTGTGTGCTACTACCCTTCGTTTTCCTTCCCTCCCCTCTTTCATATCTCCAGAATTTATTTTTATCAGAATATTAAGTATACTGTACTTAGATTTCTTTGATTATTGATATTAAAAAACACCAACAAATCAGAACAAAAACTGATGAAAGCAACTCACACACATATAATGCAAACAAAACAGACATACTCCTTGCACAGCAACTTATTCTGTAATGTTACTTTAAAAGGTGTAAGTAGTTAAGCTATCTGGAGTGGAAAAATAGAATAGAGAGTCTGTTTTGTTAAAAAGCCCATTAGCTGTGCTTGTTTCACAAGCTCTCCCTGCTACAAAAATAGCAACTTTCAGGAGTAGGACAGCATTTCAAATGAAATCAAGGTATCCAAGCTCTATGCCTAACGCAGCTCAGCAGCGCTATCTTTTCCCACTTAACCCCACCCCAGGGATTCTTCATGCAATAAATACTGCTTCACGTTGGACAAAGTGACTTCCAGAGGGTCCTAAATTTTGCCATAATTCTGTGATAGATCTCGCTTCTCTTTTCTTAGTTTTTAAATTAGTAAATTATATTTAAAATCAAATCGCTTTTAACAAAAGCCACTTCGCCAAGTTGCTGGAGTGTAGTTTTGCCAGGACAGAGCAAATCTGCCGGGATACGCGACGAAACGCCCCCAAACCAGTCCCCGAAATGGTGCCCAGCAGCTCCAGCCAACCTCCTGCGCATCCCCCCCTCTCTCCCAGCCCCGCGGCCGATCCCAGCCCAGCCCGGTGGCGAGCTCGCTTCGCAGCCCCCCCGCAAGGCTGGCAGGCTGCTGGGGTCACCTCTCCCCCCCAGATATTGCAGAGCTGGCAGTGCAGGAAGGGGGTGCGAGGGAGATGCTCCTCACCTTTGCTAGCAGACATCGAGGAGGCGAGGAGGAGGAGGAGAAGAAGGATCAGCGGGGACCCCGGCAGCGCCGCGCCGCCCCCTGACTTCCTCCGGCTGCTCCGGGGGGTGGCTGCGGGGGGCTG